AACCAATATTTTTAGCAGAGCTTTGAGAAGATTGTCTGGTTTGACCACAACCTACTTTCCAGCCTACCAGTCTTACCTTGTATCATGTCCAACAATACAGATAGAGTCTGAAATTTGAAAGGCACATGCATGCTAGTGCTTTATGCCTCTTTGTTTTCTCAAGTATTCAATATAGAATCCATAACTTCTCCATTCTATGTGTGTAATTCATTTTTTTAAAAGCTTTATTGTAAATTGAGTGAAGGTTTAGAGATATCATTGGTTTTGCATTCAATAGATCAAATACTTTGCTTCATTATAGTGATTGGCAACCCCCTGCATGTACCATCAATTAACAGAATTTACGTGTATTCACTTTAACACTTACTCTCCATCCTGTTTCCCACTACCTTCATCTTTTCTCTGCCAACCTTCCTCTGGTTGTATATTGCCTACCCCATCACCCATATTAACTCTCTAGCCTGTGAATAATTTCTTTCCTCTGCCCAGTAACCATCATAGAATATTTCTTGTATTAAGAAAACCTTTTCTTAACTTTTTATAGCAGTGGTCTCATACAGGATTTGTCCTCCTGTGATTGACTAATTTCACTCAGCATAATGTCCTTGAGGTTCATTCACGTTGTAACGTATTTTGCAGATTTCATCATTATTCATAGTTTTGTGGTATTCCATTGTGTGTATGTACCAAAGTTTGTTTAACCATTCAGTTGGTTGGCATTTAGGTTGTCTCCATGTTTTTGCTATTGTGAATAGTGCTGCAGTAAGCATGGGTGTGCAGATATCCATGTCACATCTCTTATTTCTTCAGGATCTATACCAAATAGAGCGATTGTGGGGTCACATGGTATTTCTATTTCCATCTTTTAGAGAAAGTACAATACCATTTCCACAGTGCTTGTACCATTTTACAGTCCAATTAGTAGTGTAGGAGCGTCCCAGTCTCTCCACATCCTAGCTAGCATTTGTTGCTTTTTGTTTTCCTTGAACTTTGCTATTAATTATGGAAGAAGATGATAACTCATTGTTCTTTTAATTTGTATCTCCCTCTGGTAGCGTAGTGGTTACGAATCGGGCTGCGAACCTTAAGGTCAGCGGTTCGAAACTACCAGCCGCTCTGCGGGAGAAACATGAGGCTTTCTACTCCCGTAAAGATTTACACCCTCGGAAACCCTGTACAGGGTCGCTATGGGTCAGAACCGACTCGATGGCACTTAACAACAACAACAATGGCTAATGATGTGTTTGTTGGCTGCTTGAATGTCTTCTTTAGTGAAGTGTCTGTTCATGTTTTCTGTTTGTAATTACTTTTTTCACATTAAACCTATACTCTAAAATATTATTTTTTGTAATAATTATTTGCAAAGGATTGATCCATTCATGTTCTTGAACAAAGCTAGTATCAGGACTTTGGACTGGATCACTCCGATGAGAATTTGAGTTTCCACTCCAGATATGCTGAAGCAGTATCTACATTTTAACTGGATCCCTAGGTGATTCTGTTGTACACATAAGACTTTGTAACTGATTTTTTTTTTATGGGTATATAATTCTTTTTTAAAATTTTTTAATTTAAGGTTTTTATTGTGGATTGAGTGAAAGTTTACAGGGCACATCATCAGTTTCACATTCAACATTTCATATGCATTGTTTCATTACATTGATTATAATCCCTTCCATATACCATCAGTAAACAGTATTTCTCTCTATCCACTTTAGCTTTTTTAAAAACACACAAACAAAAAAAACCACTCAGGCATATATAATAATTTACATCTCCAAAGGGCACATTCTGCAAGTCTGCTCCTGGTCACCAGCTCTTAGTCCTTCTCTTCTTAGTCCATGAACCTAGAGTCCTCAGCTGCTCCCCTTCTCCATGCCCCCATCTCTGCCTCCATCTCTGGCGCTGCTGCTTCTCTGGATAAGGTCCCGCATTCTACTTGTGCATTCCTTTCTTGATGGTCCTAGCATCCTCTGTTTCTGGACTGTAAGATTAACCACTCCCCTTTTTTTGTTATAAAACTTTACCTTTACAAGTGTGACAGTCGCGATTAGTCATGATAACAATTATTCACTATTGAATCTTACGAATCTTATCCCCATCTCCTTTCACCAGACCCATCTAGACAAGATGATAGCTATTCAGTGGGAACCATTTCTTTGCCCCCATACTCTTAAACTAAGCTCCCTCTTGAAACAAGCCAGTCACTTCGTGCCTTTATTGCCCTCTCATTTTATGTAGCCAATATCTAAGTTGCCCATCCCTATCTACCCTGTGCACAGAGCGGATAACATTGATATTTGATTTGAAGACTCTTTCCCTCTCTGTTGGTATTTAGAGTAACTACTGCTCTCAGTATAGGTCAGGCTCATCATGAAGATGTATCTTCTGTCACTGTAGTTGTTTCAGTCTGCTTGTCCTTTCTAGTGGGAATGTCTCACCTCACAAGGTTGTGGATGGAACTCAGAATTCCACCTAAGGTCCTATACTCTGTAAAGGCTTTGCATGAAGCATATTTCACTGGGCAAGCTGTAGAACCCCTTTTAGGTATTCTAATCAGTTATAGGCTGAAGGCGGGCTTATAAGTTTTCTCTAATCATGTTTCCCAACATTCCTTTCTATCCCACTCAAGTGTCTATTTTACAGTCGTAGGCAAGGGAAACTAATATTCATAAGGCAGTCAAGGATTTTAGTATTATTTACCCTCTTCAAGCTATACCTAGATCCCTGTATCCCAGAGCCCTGTTGTTCCAAGGTTGAGTATGCATCACTATTTACCTCTGTCCCACTAGGCCATGCAAACCTGTCTCAGTGTTCCCCTATCTTGTTCTTCCACCTCCTCCCCCCTTCTTGTATTGCCCTCCCAACACCCAAAGTAAATCCCCCACCTCAACCCCATTGTGGTTACCTTATAGTCCATTAGTTCTTCCCTCCATTTAAGATAGTCTATTTTAACCAGTAATCTACCTGACCTTCCCACCACCTGGATCTCTGTTCTTCTGTGTTTACCATTTTTCACATTGTAATTGTTTTGATCATAGACTGACCTCCCAGATCCTTTGTTCTTTTATTCTGTTCTTGACTCTTCCATTTGTTGACTGAGTTCAGGTTGATGCTGCCACATACGTCATTCTGTAGTTGTGTGTGTTCTTGTTGGTTCTCAGTCCACAAAACTTCCTTTAGGATTTTTTTCATAGCAGGGTTGGCTTTGGCAAAATCCCTTAGCTTCTGCTTATCCTGGAATATTTTGATTACACCATCGTATTTGATTGACAGCTTTGCTGGGTAGAGGATTCTTGGGTGGCAGTTTTTTTCTTTCAGTGTTTTATATATGTCTCCCCATTGCCTTCTTGCCTGCATGGTTTTTGTTGAGAAACCCAAGCTTAATCTGATTTGCTTACCTTTGTATGTTGTATTTCTCTTTTCCTAGCTGCTTTCAGGATCCTGTCTTTATGTTTGATTTTGGAGAGCTTGATTATTATATATCTTGGTGATTGTCTTTTAGGGTCTATCCATCCTGGGGTTCGTTGAGCTTCTTGAATGCTTATCTTTTCACTTTTCATGATGTTAGGGAATTTTCTTCCAGAAGCTCTTCAACTGTCTCCTCTGTGGACTTGTGTGATTGTTCCTGTTCTGGAATGCCAATAATTCTTATGTTATTCCTCTTCATGTTATCCGATATGAATCTTAAGCCTTCTTCAGATTTTTTTTGTATTTGTTCTTCTAAATAGCGTTGAGAAATTTATCTTCTAGCTCACTAGTTCTAGCTTCTATCTCTTCAATTCTATTCCTTTGCCCTTTCAATGTATTGTCCATTTCTGATATTCTATTATTAATCATTTGGACCTCTTTCTGTAGGTTTTGAATTCTTTCCAATGCTGTATCTATCTTATTTGCTTTTTCCTGTAGCTCTTTCCTGACTTCTTCCTTATATTTCTCAACTCCATTGTATAGTGTTTTGATACATTTTGGGATCATTTTTCTGAATTCCTTCTCAGGCATTTCCAAAGCCTGCCCATCTTCCAGTATGGAGTGTACGTCTACTTCCAGCTCATTTACCTCAGTCACTCTGTCTCATTTCTGGACATGTGCAGATATGGTCATCTGCTTCTGTTTTGGGGCATCTTCAGGGGTTAATCTGTGGCCTTAATACTTAGATGGATATGTATTTTGGTATTTTTTATGCTGTCTGAATGCCATGTAGATGTGATCAGGAAATAGGCTTCCCTTTTCACTTTTCTTCCTGAGAAATTTCAAGATACCATTGTTGGTTATTTTGACGTAATTTAGGACTTAATTTTCAGCCTATTTCCTCTTTTGTCTGCTTGTCTTGCTCTACAATCCCCGTTCAGGCCTTTTTTCTAGTTGTAAACAGTTTAGGGCCGGCTGTGGCTGTTTGGTTTTAATTGGAAACTGTCGCTTTAAATTTCGAGGAGATCTATGCGCATGCATAGTAGAACCCTCCAAGGGTGGGGCTGGTGTGCCCACTACTCAGGCACCCCTGTAGTCACCAAAATGGAGGTGGACAGTCAGCATGGGACCAATGAACAGCTACCAAAAGAGAAGAATGTCCACACCTTTATCTCTGCGGTTCTGCCAGGCGTCTGTGGCCGCTCTGATCCTTTCCACGCTTGGTCTCACCCAAGATGGCGGCTCCTGGAGCAGCTGAGCCTCCCTGATAGTAAGCAATGGATTTCTTGCTTCTGCCACAAATTCCCCCAGCTGTAAACCTTCCAACCTTCTAAATATTCCTTTATATGTGGTTCAGAGTTCTGGGACCATCCCCTGAGCCTGCTTGGTCGGGTATTCTGTGTTGTTGTTGGCGGAGCACTTTACTACACTTCCACTTGATCCGCCATCTTGTTTGTTCTCTTTGTAACTGATTTTTATTATGCCTGGGGTATGAAAACTCTTCTCCATGAAACCAAAGTAGTACTTTAAACTGATGTGAAAATATTTGAAAAGTACCACTAGAGTGATGATTTCTCTTTCCATTTTAGGGAGATGAGGACCATGTTGTTAGTTTATGCTATGAGACCATTCATGATAACCATTCAGTATTACTTTTCTGCCCATCAAAGAAATGGTGTGAGAAGCTGGCAGATACCATTGCCCGAGAATTTTATAATCTACACCATCAAACTAAGGGTAAGTTACAGATGGAAATGAAAGTCTCCCAGAAATGACAGCTTGCTTGAAGGTAATGTTAATGACCATTTTAGCAACTCTGTTTTATCTTGTCAACACTTTTCCTTAGAGGACTTTTTTACAAAACTATGCTTTTATGAATCTAATCTTCTCCTTGTCCTCGGTATAAAAAATGAGTCATTTTCAGTTTGTTAGAACACTGGATGTATAGTTATATAATAAAGTTCTTCCGGGATTATATGGCTCTGAAGCTGTATGCCTAGCTTCATGTGTACTCATTTTTCTGGAGAAAGGGAGCATAGCTTTTCTATATTTTTAAAGCAATGTAAGCTCTTAAAAAGATTGTCACACACATATGCATGTATATATGTATGTGTAGTTGTTAAGTGCCATTGAGTCAGTTTCAACTCAGAGAGACCCTGTATAGGGTTTCTGAGGAGCAACTGGTGGGCTTGAACTGCTGACCATGTGGTTCAAACCAACCTTGCAATACTGCGCTTATCCTAAGCACCACACCAGGACTCACTCTCTCTATATATATACATATACATATGCGTACGGAGCCTTCAAAAAGTTTGTGGAAAAATTATTATCTTTTCATTTCATTTTTTCATGAACTCTCTGAAGCTCCTTTATAATCTTTTTTGAAGTATAATTTATACAATAAAATGTTCCCATTTAAAATATGTATTTTGGTGAGTTTTGACAAATGCATGTGCCTGTTTAATCACCACTCTAATCAAATGTGGAACATTTCCATCACTCCAAAATGTTATCTCCTGTTCTTTTGCCATCAGTCTCCTCCCTCCATCCCCAGCCCAAGCAACTGCTGAACTGCTGTCACTCTAGATTATTTTGGTCCTTTTCATATAAATGGAGTAATATAATCTGTATCATTTTATGCTTGATTTCTCACTCAGCATAATTTATGAGGTTCATGTGTGTTGTTATGTAATTTGTTCTATAGCTGAGCAGTGATCCATAATATAGCTATAACTATTAGTATATATTTTTAATGATTTTCACACGAATACTGTTTTCTTACCATTTTTATTAGCTTATGTTCCCTTGGGGCATAAGATAAATTTAGGGAAGACAAAGATCTGTTCTAGTCATAGAATATTAGAATATTTTTCTTTGTTATACCCAGTGGCATCCTAAGGCCAGGTGATGGATATTGCAAGCCTAGCTCTAACAAGTAAATTTTTCCTGAAGGGTTTATAAACTAGGCACTGTTTCAACATTATAATCTCTTTCCCTGTTCCCTCTGAATTGATTCTTTCTGTACCATATCTTTTTTTTTTTTCCTTAACTTTTTATTGTGAATTGGGTGAGGGTTTATAAAGCAGATGATCAGTTTTACATCCAACAAGTCACGCATTGTGTTTTATCTCAATGACTGCAATCCCCTGCATGCAGCAAGAGTCATCCTACTTCTTCCCTGTGCTTCCTATTTTCATTCCACCATCCTTCCCAACCCCTCTGAATTTTGTCACCATCTTGAATGGTTGACCATTCCTTGGTTAGCATACCTGATTAGTGTTTTAGTCCCCACTGTAAACACTTATCCACCACTTGGTTAAAAATCGTTCCAGACATGAAGAGTTACTGAGGATGATAGTCTCAGGTTCCTCCAGTCTCTTTCTGACCAGTAAGCCTGGTCTGTATTATAATTTTGAGTTTTGTTCTACACTGTCTCCCACTCTATCCAAGACCTTCTAATGTGCTCCTTTTCAGAGCAGTTGGTAGTGGCAGCCAGTCAGGCACATCTAGGTCTTCTGGTCTTAGAGTCATGAAGACTGATGTTTATGTCTTCCATTACTCCATTAGACTATTGTTTCCATGTGTCTTAGATTTTCTTTGATCTTCTTTCTTCTACTATGGAGAGACCAATATTTGCACCTGAGATGGCTGCTCGTGACCTGTTAAGATTTCAGTCACTGCTCACTAAATTGGAATGTAGAACATTGTCTTTGTGGACTTTATTATGCCACTTGACCATGGTGTCCCTGAGACTATTGTTCTGAGCCCCCAGGCCGACAACTCATTGCCTCAGGTGTTTGGTAATGCCCCCTGTATGCTCCACCTCATTCATAGGTGTGTTTGCAGCAAAGGTAAATACCTATGTACAAATGTCCTCTGTCAAACCCTTATAGATTTGTGGATATACACCCACTCTCCCTCCCATACCATTCAGCCTGTGTATCTGTCCATGTATCTACCTGCATGAGTACTGTGTCTATAACAGTATTTACCTCTGTCCCCTTTTAACTCTTACATTTCTCTCCATACCATCACTTGTCTTCATCATTCTTCTGCCAATCTCCCTCTTGTTATATATTGCCTTCTCCATCACCCAAGTTAATACATATCTACTCTGGTATGGCACTGTAGGATCAGCACTGGACTTTGAACCATAAGGTTGGCAGTTCAAACCCACCAGCTACTCTTTGGAAACCCTATACAGGATCACTATGAGTCAGAATCTACTCAATGACACTTAACAACAACAACACCCTCTAGCCAGTGGATTACTCTTCCTTTCCACCCACCCTTGGTAACCATCAAAGAATGTTTCTTTTAGCATGTAAACCTTTTCTTGAGTTTTTACAATAGTGGGCTCATACAATATTTGTCCTTTGTGACTGACTAATTTCACTTAGCATAATATTCTCCAGGTTCATCCATGTTATCAGGTGATTCACAAAGTCATTATTACTTTTCAGTGTTGCATAGTATTCCATTGTGCCTATGTACCAAAGTTTGTTTATCCATTCTTCCAGTGATGGGTATTTAGGCTGTATCTATCTTTTTGCTATTGTGAATAGTGCTGCAATGAACATGGGTGTCCCTATATATTTAATCGTGTCATAGCTCTTGTATCATGGGGATACATACCAAGTAGAGGAATTGCTGGATCATGTAGTATTGCTATTTCCAACTTTTTGAGGAAGCACCATACCATTTTCCAGGTTCCAGTCATCTATTCTGTCTTCTGCTGTTTGTATGTTTTTAGCACCGTTTTATAACCCACTAGCTATGTAGGAGGGTCCGAGTGTCTCTACATTCTTGCCATCGCTTGTTTTTTTGTTTTTTGAACTTTGTTATTAATGATGGAGTGAGGTGATATCTCATTATTGTTTTGATTTGCATCTCTAATTGCTAGTGATCACAAACATTTCTTCATTTGTTTGTTGGCCACTGAGTATCTTCTTTGGTGAAGTATTAGTTTATGCCCACTACCCATATATTGTAGTCCTGGTGTGATGCAGTGAGCTAATACTCTGGACTGCAAAGTCACTTTGATCTGCAAGGAGTGTGGTTCTAGCTCACCAGCTGCTCCTTGGAAACGCTATACAGCAACAACAACAACCCATATTTTAATTGGGTTATTTGTCTTTTTCTTGTAGAGGTGTTGTATTGTTGTTGTTAAGTGCCCTCGAGTTTGGTTCGACTCATAGCAGCCCTATATGGGGTTTTCAAAGAGTGGCTGGTGAGTTTGAACTGCCTATTTGTGGTTCAACCAACAATGCAACCTTGCAGTCTAGTGCTTTATCCCACAGAGTTACACCAGAGGTGTTGTAGTTTTCTATAGGTTTTATAGATTAGTCACTTGTCTGACTAAGTCATTGTAAAAACAAAAAAATTCCCATCCTATGGCCCTCTGTTGGTGAAATCTTTTAATGCAAATTGTTATTAAGTGCCATCAATCAGTTCTGTCTCATAGTGACCCTATGAGTTTATGAGGAGCAGCTAGTGGTTTTAAATTGCTGATCTGTGGTTCATAGTCCAGTGCTGATTCTACACTCCACATAAATGCCTAATTTTTAGGCGGTTCCAGTCATCTGTTTTGTCTTCTGCTGTTTGTATGTTTTCAGTTAATTTGATAGTGTATTTATGCCATGTATCAAAGTTGGTCCCTATTATTTTCATTGATGGTATTTATAGTTCTAGATTTTAAATTGAAGTCTTTAATCCATGTTGTGTTTTTTTGTATGTGATGTGAGATGTGGGTCATGTTTCATTTTTCTGAAAATGTATTTCCAGTTTCCATGGCAAAATCTTTAAACTATTCCATGATGACTTATATTCATAAATAATTAGAATCATTATTACTTTCTTTTCTTGCAGTCCTGTTATCTTGATTTAGAGTTGTTGTTGTTAAGTGCTGTCGAGTCGGTTCCGACCTGTAGCAACCCTGTATAGGGTTTCCGAGGAGCCGCTGGTGAGCTTGAACCACCAACCTCTCAGTTCAAACTGACTTTGCAGTCCAGCTTATTAACACACAGCACCACACCAGTGGTTCCAAATACTAGTCCTTACCCAGTGTTGGTCTCTGATGAAATTTTCACTGTAAAAATAAAGATAAGTGAATAAAATTTTCACAAAACTGTAGTTTAAATTCTGAAATTGTCCCTCCTAATTATTTAATGTTAAAATGATGTTTCTTTTCAAATGAAGATATATATGTGTGTGTATCTATACATTGAAAAAAAAATTGTCCTTTATTAGAAAATTAACAACCTTTTGTCAGTTTCAAAAATTTACAGAAAGTTTATCTAAAAACATTATAAAATGTATTTTAAGAAAGGTTTTAATAGTTCAGAAATCAAAAAGTCTGGGAAGCTCTTTAGCAAAGTTCCTGCCTCTTACAAAGTTAAAGGTCTTACTAGGGAGGAAGGCGGGGTCCTGGTGTGGTGCTGTAGGATAAGTATGTAACTGCTAATTGCTAGGTTAACAGTTCAAACCCACTAGTCACTTCTCAGAAACCCTATGATGGTTATGTGCCGTGGAGTCGGTTCTAACTCATAGTGACCCTGCATAGGGTTTCCGAGGCTGTAACTCTTTACGGTAACAGAAAGTCTCATCGTTCTCCCGTGTAACTGCTGGTAGTTTTGAACTGCTGATCATGAAGTTAGCAGCCCAACTTGTAACCACAATGCTACCAGAGTTCCTTCAGAAACCCCATAGATGGTCACTATTAGAACCAACTTGACCGTGCTTAACAACAGGGAAGAAGGTTGCACAGAGAGGCAAACAAAACAACAGAAGGTAATGTTTGATCATTTACCAGATTGTTGCCAAAGAGGATAGACTAATCCTGGGCTAAGATAATTGTCACAGAAAACCCGGTTTTGTGAATGGAGTTTAGATTAGAACACATTTGGGCCAATGGAACTACAAACACAAAGGTCAGGAGAAGAGAGTAAGATATGCCTGCAAATGCTGAGGAAGTCATCCTGGTTAAGGAGTTTGGGGAAAATAGGAGAAACGAAAAGTCAGATTTCGGAAATTTTGGCTACTCGGCTAAGGATTGTGAACATTTATCCTCCAGGAGAGATATATAAATGGTTTAAGCTGTTAAGTCATGCTTAGAAATTTTTTGGTTCTAGATAGGCATATTATTGTAACTGAGTGTAGACTGGGTTCTACTTTTTCTAGCCCTCTCTATTTAACCTTGGATTCAGGATGAACTTCCTGAGTACCCAAAAGAGCAGATTGTTTTTGGGTGGTCAGTTCCTATTCATGGCTGGCCTGAAATGGACCCTTTATCTAGCTCCCTTCACTTTGAGCAATCGGTTGGACCCAGTCTGTAGTACCTAGAGACTACAGCTTGTTACCTGTCCTTTGACCTAATAGAAGACTTTGTGGACAACATTTCGACTCTCCTATTGTTTGAACAGACAGTCAGCACACACAGTTTCTTGGAGTTGCCCACAGTTTCTCCTGCTACTTTCCCCAAAAATGTCCTATTAACACATGCAGGCTAGCTACTTGCTGACAAAGAAAGGCTACACTCAGACATTTCTAAAGTGTACTGGGGAAGTTTTGTTTATGATGATTAATGAAGGGCTGAGGGATTTTACCCCTTTCAAATCAACCAAATCAAATAGAGTATGTGTTGAAGACATTTTATCGGCATTGAGGTATATTCTCTCTCTCTCTGTATATATATATATATATATTGTTGTTAATTGCCTTCCAGTCGGTTCCGACCCATAGCGACCCTGT